TACGCTGTAACACATTGTAGCCCAGAAAATGGCCTCGTCTTCCCGTGGGCTGCTCACTCTCTTTCCCGACCTCAACGAGTCAACAAGAGAGATAACTGGTGCGGTGGCCCGTGAACCGCAACCAAGCGCCTCTGTTTTTGCGCCGTTGAGCTTTCCGATGCGGTCTGTGGAGCAAAAAATGGCGGTACAAACTGATATTGAGGCCAATCAGTATACTTTGGAGTCATGTGTGGAGACGATGACGGCGGTCACAAACTTGTCGCACCGGCTGCAGAGTAGGACAAATGAGGTGCAGCAGTTAAACGCCCAACTGGCTCTGCTCCAGCGCATGTATAAGGATGCGCGAGCAGAGATAAGTGTGCTAAAGGCAATTAAAACCTATTTTGATGAATATATCTTATTTTTAAAATGAAAAAAATAAAATAAAATGTATAACTGAAACTTTGCATAAAATAGGGGTCAGTGTCTTGCACCTGCCACTTAAGTTTGAATTTAAAAATGTTGTTCAACTAACTCATTAATTGAACAAAAATGATTGAGGCCTCAAATTTTTTGGCTCAAATTTGCCTCGAATTTGCTTTTTTTTTTTTTTTTTTTTTTTTTTGGGTTTGTGTTTGTGTGAAAAAAGTGTGATCGGGGTTGATCCCTGAGATGAATAAAAGATGGTTTGGCGTGCAAAGCTATATGGTATGAATGGAATTTGAAAAAAGATTAAAAATAATGTGAAAGAAAAAATAAAGAAAGAAATAATAAGAATATATTTGAAATCAAAATGAAAGATGGGGAAATAAGGAAAGTGATTCACGTGGTTTCGTGTCCCACTGTTTTGGGAAAATCGGAGAAGCCTCTTGAAGTCTTCCATCCAGTAACACAAGCCACAATGGAAAATATACAGGCTGATGGTTGTAGGCAGAATAGGAATTCAATAATGCAATTATTTTTTTATTTTTTTTTTGAACATAATCAATTATCAGTCAAAAAAAAAAAACACAGAGCCGACCAAAAAAGGCACTAATCCATTCTCCAAACGCACCAGCTGTTGTCCACCCATCCCAGCAATCACCACGTGAGAGAGAGAAAGCCTCTGAGTAGTGGAATACTCAAACAATTCACACTGGGGTGGTATGGCATAGGATAATATATTATAATGGTGCTACAGCTGGGTTTGCATAAAGGGGAAGGAAAGGGTCGGGAAAGTTGACAAAGAGTAGAGAGAGATGGAAAGAGAGTGAGAAGTGTGACCTTCTTGGTGGATGGAACATGAAGCAACCGAGGTGAGTGAGGCTGTAGGTGAAGGTGGCTCGGTCGTAGAGTTGAAGGTGCCTCACAGTTGACGAGCATGTCGTCGAGAGAGATCGGAAGGGTGGTGTCGTGGCATCGAATGCCTCGTCGACTCCATTGATGAAAGTTACGGTGATTTGAGGAGGATGATCGTCGGTGCGGCCCTTGACCATGAGTTAACAAGCTGGGTTTGATTCTTTGGCCTAGCGAGCGTTGCATTGGGGGTGTGTTTGACGGGCACTATGGAACCGAGCTGGACCATGGAGTGACAGCCGTTGGATATGGATCGGCCAAGGGATTGGATGTTGGTGAATCGGAGGAGATGACTGCGGATATGGTCGGTGACCAGGAAGGTTACGTGGAGTCCGGATAGGCATAGAAGTTCTGCTAGCTTCAGCATGGAGTTTACAGGACACTGCTACACCGTTGACACACGGTTTTGAGGGAGGGAAGAACACACTGCAATACACAAGAAGAATGCATCATGGTGAATGAATCCATCATGGTGAGTTGTTGAAGAATCTGCCAAGAAAGAAGAAATTAAGGAAAGTTGGGTTTGTCCGGCGAGGTGTTGAAAAACTCCAGCGGGCAGCGAGGGCATGGTTGCCGGCCGGCTGCCCGCCGGAAAGAAAGGAATATAGGCCTAAATCTTATAGCTCTGATA